CATTCCCTAGCCTATAGTCCACCAGAAACAACTGGCCTGGCACCCTGGGCATGAGTGCTTTGGATCATCAGCTTTTGAGTTTTAGAAATTGTAAAAAGAACATATCCCCATGTACTTTAGCAGAGCTCAGGAAACGAGGCCCAAGGGCCAAGTACAGCCCACTGCTTATTTTTACAAATAAAGTTTTATTGGGGTACCTGGGTGGCTCAGTTGGTTAAGCATCTGCCTTCGGCTCAGGTCATGATCCCAGGGTCCTGGGATTGAGTCCCACATCGGGGGCTGCTCAGCGGGGAGTCTGCTTCTCTCTCTCTCTCCCCCTTTGCCCCTCACCCCCACTCATTCTCTCTCTCTCAAATAAATAAAATCTTAAAAAAAAAAATTAAGCTTTATTGAAACATGCCCATAGCCATTATTTGACATATTGTCTGTGGCTCCTTTCATACTACGATAGAGTTGAGTAGTTGTGACAGAGACCAGATGGCCTTCAAAGCCTAAAATATTTATTACCTGGCTCCTTACAGAAACCATTTGCCAACCCCTGCACTGGAATAATCAGGGTAGGTTCAATGGATTGCTTGGGTTTTAAACTGAGACTTGAAGGAAAGAGGCAGTGTTTATTTTTTGGTATAAAGAAGTGGAGAATTATTAAAAGAGCACTATAAAAAAGAATACTAAGAGTGTAACTGATGTTACATCACTGTGCAAAAGTCATTAAGTTAATGATAATGTAAACCATAACTGAATGTATATACCACTTACTATGTTCCAGGTACCGTCTATATTCTTCATAGTAACTCATTTTATACTCAACAGCAATATTAAGAAATACTATTATTATCTCCATTTTTCCAGATGAGAAGAGAGACACAGAGAATTAAAGAAGTTTGCCCAAGGTCACAAAGTTATCAAGTAGCCTAACTAGAATTCAAATCCTGGTATCCTTACTCTAAACTCCATAATCAATATAAAATATGATCAAGGCCAAAATTATGCATAAATTCTAGCTATGAGCAATGACACGGTTTCTTAAGGACACATGGAAATCAACTTTATCACTCTATATTGTTGAACCTTTTGGCTAACCACAACACACGTTCACTTTATGTACTCTTTGTCCCCCGCAAGAAACTGCCGTGGCTCAGCTGGAAATCCCCTAAACGGGACAACCCAATGGTGCATCTAGTGGTTATGTTGCCATGGTAATGCTGTGTCAACACAGTAGCCACTGGTCATTCCAAGAGGTGGACCGTCACCCATTCATTAAATTCTGAGTCTGAGACAGCCACTGTTCCCTAAGAAAACAGAAGGTTCTCTTTCCCAACCAGTAGTCAGTAAGGTCATCCTGTTCAGGACAGGCTGAAGCCACCGTGGACATTACTTCTTATAGATATAAACTGGGTTCTATTTGGGAGTCCTATTTTAGAGCAGAGGCTCCCATCCCAGAATAGTGATCTGTGATCTCTAGCCAAAAAATGGGCCAGCCGTTATAGGTCAATCAGGGACCCATGGTGTATCTGCCGGGAGCCCAAAATGATAACATGCCTTGGGCCCATGATAAACAACCAAAGTAGACAGAGGCAGAATTCCAGAAGAGAAGTTGTTTCTTGATTCATTACCTTGGAGAGGTTCCTAACAGATAGCCTCTAACACAATTAACTTTTAATGGACTAACAGAACTTAAATTGATATACCTCTTTTAGAGGACATTTTGGCAATTTGTATCAAAAGCCTTAAACATGTTCAAAGCCAATGACTTAGAAATTCCAATTCTACTAATTTATCCTAAAAAAATTATCACAGATATACCTCAAGGCTATCCATTAAAGCATTATTTGTAATAGAGAAAAACTGCGATGAACTTAATGAACAACAGTGAATTTGTTAAATAAATTATGATATAAACATAAATTACTACATTAATGTTATAACCACAAACACTATACAGTTGTTTAAATTTTGGTCATGAAAGACCATTAAATTTAAAAAGCAGATTAAAACCAGCATCTAACATAAAATTCTATTTTTATAAAAACCAAAAATAACAATGCATATATATATGCACTCATAGAAAAATAGATATAGCAGAGGTTTTCTCCCAGGGCAGAACTGTGGTGGTTTTAATTTTCTATTTTTTTATACAATAAATGTTGCACTGTTTTAGTAACTTTTAAAAATGGTAACAGTGGGGCGCCTGGGTGGCTCAGTTGGTTGGGCGACTGCCTTCGGCTCAGGTCATGATCCTGGAGTCCCGGGATCGAGTTCCACATAGGGCTACCTGCTCGGCAGGGAGTCTGCTTCTCCCTCTCCCGCTCCCCCCTCTTGTGCTCTTTCTCTCTCTCACTCTCTCTCAAATAAATAAAATCTTTAAAAAAAAAAATTAAAAAATAAAAATTAAAAAAATTAAAAAATAAAAATAAAAAAAATAAAAATGGTAACAGTTACATTTAGTTTTTTTTTTTTTTTAATTGTGTTTCTCTCCTTCGGCTGTTACATTATACTTTGGCCTTATGGTTTTCAGTTCTGTGAATTCTACCACTATGTTTTCCCAGTTAGGCAAAATGCAGACCAGTCTTTCTCAACAACCTAGGAGAAAGGCAGTCCACGTTTTCAGAGATCCACCCACAATACAAAAACCCTCAAATCCGAAAACTGGCCGGCCAGGCTTATTGGGCTTATACTTTGTTAAAAAGCTACGCCATTAACATGACTCTGAACAGCTTCACCAATTTAATCCAAGTTGCCTGTGTTGGTATGGGTTTTGCTGTTGTTGGGGGTTTTTCCTAAAAAGAGTCAGAGTCCAAAATTAAAGCAAGAGGTCAAGGGAATTAGCTAAGAGCTGATTAAAACAGTGTGTACTGTACAGATTGTGAAACAGCTGAATATCGTAGGGCCTGGAATCTGGCGGGGAAGAGAGATGCTGGGTAATTTCTTTTCCCGGGACAGAATGGGAGCAGGTAAGCTGAGTTAGAACGCAACTGCATTCCGATTTCTGGACAGGACATGACTTCACATTTTTTGAAATAAAGGAATGTCTTTTCATTTCACTTTCAAATGACCATTAGGAAAAGGTTTATTTATATATTGCGCAACAAGTGGACAAAGTCAACCGGGATTTGGCTTCAGCTTTCCCAAATTTCAGGATAAAGTTAAGTAGGTTCAGCTAGCAATCGATAATAAAAGTAGTAATTCGACGCACAAATGTTTCGCTTTTCATCCAGCTGCCAACTGGCAGCTATGTGACCTTTCCTGACCACCTTATCTGAAGCAACTGGAGGAAAGGACACTCCTTTAAAACAACCAACACAATCCCAGAGGCAGAGAGATGTTCCCTAAACTAGCCTCGCTCAGTAAAATAATCCATGTTTATTCCAGTGGCTTGAAAAGAGGAGAAAACTCACATAATCTCTTTCAGGGGCCGAGCGACATTTCTGTGTTTGTTCAACCTCTATCTTTAAGCGCCCACGACACGCCAGACATGAGTGAGGTGCTGCACTCAAGCTAGGACCCTATTCGCTCTGGGTCATGGACGGTAAGGCATTCAGTGTGGTAGACTCCATGCAAAAATGACCCCGTTTTTCCTTACCCTGTATTCCTGCCTCTTATAATGTGACTTTGCAGCTCTTTGCATTAGAAAGTTGAGTTTCTGTTCCCACCTCCCAAGTATCACCGGCCTCATGACTTACTTTGGCCAACACAATGCATCAGCAGCGACAGCGTGCCACGTGGGAACCTGGGCCTCAGGAGACCTCATGTGCCTCTGGGCTTTCTTCTGGAGCCCTGCCTGTGCAAGAAGCCAGGACCAGCCCAACAGGCATGAGAGACCACATGAGGAAGAGCCAAGAGTCCCCAGCAGCAGGAGCCTTCGGTAACCCCCAGAAGCACAACCACCTAGGGAACCTGCAGCTGACCAGAGATACACAGCGGAGCACAGCTGCTAAGAGCAGGTGAACCACCCAAAGGAGCCTGGCCTAAAGTGCTGCCCCACAGAACCATAAGCTAAACGCAAGGTGGTTGTTTTGCGCCACCCAGCTTTAGGATGGTTTGTTACACTGCAGCGCCTAACCAATCCATATGCTGATAATAAAGGCTAACTCTGATAAGCCAAATACAAAATGCCACGGAGCACCTGATGGGAGCACCTGTAATATTCCAGCATGCTTATAATTACAATAAATCATCCAATGGAGCTAGATACAGAACAGATCTGACCAGCTGTAGGAGGGGCCCTAAAAAAGCTGTATATCTGGGAAAGGGCTAGCTCAAGACAGCCATAGTTCCTTTGAAAAACTGTGGATGAGTTGGATTTGTCTATGAAGTCATTCTGTTTTTCTTTTATCTCTCTCTTAAAAAAAAAAAAAAAGCAGCTCTTTCATTCAATTAAGACTGTTGGACTCGATATCAATTGTCTAGCTTGATTCAAAGCAGCCATATCCTCTCTGACACATGTTCAGCCCCCACTACTCCGTAGGCTGGAATTTTAAATCCAGCTCTCCTGAATTTATGACGCACGCACACAGTAGCAAGTCCCTACAGGCTGAAAATCAAACTGTAATTCAAAGGCCACAGGGCTGAGGAAACAGCCAGAAGATAAATCCCAATTTTAACCTTGGATTCTCAGCAAGTTGATTTAGGGGACTGTCAGTCATATTTAAAAATAAAATAAAACTACAAAGACAGCAGACGGCATGTTCTAAAGAGAAACAGGATGATGCTGTTCAGGACTCCTTCAAAAAACTCTTGTTACCTGAAAAGAACTGTTCTGTTATTTTAAGGGCCCTAGAAACATTTGGCCCCCATCAGTCGTTTGCAGAAGTTTCTGAATTTTTAACTGATGAAATAGAAGGAAGCAATGCAACCGTCAAATACAACCGAGCCCACCACACTGGAGGTGGCATCACAGTGGCAAAGCAGCCTGCTTCTAGAGCTGAGCAGGTCCCCCCACCCCCCACGGAGCACGTGGAGAAGGAGTGCATGCTGGGTGCAGAGGCGCGGGTACTCACCTTACAGCCCTCGCAGGCGCTGACCCCATAGTGGTACCCTGATGATTTGTCCTGGCAGACGAAGCAGGGTTTGTACACACGAGGGGGAGGAAGTGGAGACGGAGGGCTTGGGACCAGTTCCTCAGAGCTGGTGCTCTGTGTTTCAATCGCTGTGGTGGAGATGGAGTGGGGGGTGGGGAGGAGGGGAGAAAAAAAGAGGAAATGGGTCATTTCATGTCTTTTTCACCAGCGAAATCATAGGCCTCTGCCCCAAGTTCAGCAAGAACACCAGCAAGGACAGGCCCACGAAAACACATGTCATTGTTGGCCCAGCAGTGGGGACACGGACATGGTGCCCTTCAGTTCACAGAGCAAGCACATCTGCCTCTCTCCTTCTCGGTGCATCACAGCACTGTGAGGGACACGATTTTCTCACCATGCTACCCTCCAGAGACACAGAAACTCGGGGCGGGGGGCAGGGGGAGTGCCGTGACTCGTCCAAGATCAACAGGCCGGTGGTAGAGCCACGACACAAAGTCAGATCTTCACACTGCAACCCCCAAGCTCTTTCTGCTCTTCTGTTTCCCCTAGCTTCTGATTCGTGTAGAGTCTCTGAAATGACTTGTTTGACCCTGTTGCTCACTTAGCCAAAAGTAAATTTCCCAGAACAAATGAGAAAATGCCCACAACAGCCATTGGACAAGCATCTGGGGAGGGCCATGCAGCCATGACGGATCTTCATTAATAAGAGCATCGGTAAGACCTTGGCCACTCCAAGACTGCTCCTTGGACCAGCAGCCTCAGCGTCACCTCAGAGCTTATCAGAAAACAGAGCATCAGGCCCCAGCTCAAGCCTAGGGAATCAGAATCTGAGTTTTAACAAAACCCTCGGATGGCCAAATGTACAGTTAATGTTTGAGAAGCAATGGGTTGTACTGATGATAGCAGAGTCACGCTGCTCTTTATCCTAGATTTAAAAATACAGGATTCCCTATTTCATTTTTTAACCACCCAAATTCCATGGGAAATAGGAATTCACAGAATTTATTCTCCCATCCCTTCTCTCCAGATTTATGTTCCAAGTCAAAGCAAGACCTGGCCCTTTTCCTATCAGAGGCAAAAATGCACATCAAGTATGATGGAAATGGGGAAGGGAGTGAGTGACCCAGTCATCAAATAATGTTCCAGAATCTTCCAACCTCCATATTTCTTTACAATATACAGTATATTCGCCAGAGTGTAAGATTTCCAGTTGTTCCACTACTCACAGTCTTCCAGACTAGATATTCTACTAACTTTATTGTCCTATAGCCAAACCTTCAGGAAGTCAGGGCAACTCTACTCCTTACACGTATTGTGAATCCATCCTCATCTCGTAATCCTGCTACCATGCCAGGCCAGTGGGCCACCATCACCTCTCACCTGAGCTACTGCCACAGCTTCATCAGTGGTCTCCCCATGCCTGTGCTCCTACCCTAGGGTCCCTTCTTCAAATACATAGGCAGACAACCATTCGAAAAGGCAAAAGCGATCCCTATCCCTTACTTGTCTAAGGCCCTCCAATAGTCGCCAATTAGATCAAAGTCAATCTCATTACTGTGTTCAACAAGGCTCTTTATGATATGGCCCCTTAGCAACATCAACATCACTGAGTTCATCATTCTTGTTTATCAACTTCTAAACACTTGGCTTCTACTTCATCTCTTGAATAGGCCAAGCTCTTGTACCAATGTAAGGCTACTGCATTAACCATTTCCCCTACCTGGAAATTCTCAGACCTTCACATGTCTGGTTCCTTTTCATCTCTTAGATCTTAAAACAAATGTCACCTCCTCAGAGAGGGCTAAGTAAAATGCCCCTTCCCACTCCTGATCACTACACCCTGTTATTTTATTTTCTGTAAAACCCTAGCTAGTATCAAAATTTAGAATGTACAATTTTATATTCTACCTCTGTTACCTTCCAACTATGGGTTTCATGAGACCAAGGAACTTATCTGCATCATTTACAACTATGTTCCAGGCCAAGAAGAGGTCCTGGCACATAGTAGGCAGGTTATCAATAAATATTTGTGAATTAATACATGAACTTTTCCCTGTTCCTTTTGCTTCTTCATTCCAAGTACTAAGTGCCCCTCTAAGGTGTTAAGGTAACACAATTACAAATCAAATAGCTTTCATATACTCATTTGCTTCCTTAAAAAATTAATTATCCTCTTGGAGTAGAATCAACTATAATTATAGTATTCTCATAATTCAGAAGTATCTTGGAATGAATTCATTAGAGTAATGCAGGTCTAGTAGTTAAATCTATTACAGTCTTTACTGGTCAGAAGCAAGATGTCTGGGATGAAGACAGCCCTTACTCTGGGCAGCTTGGCATAAAGATTGGCATCTAAGATGTTACCAAAGCTTATCAGATCAGCTATCAAGCTGTAAACGCAAAAGCAGTCCCCACACTAAGCTAATCAGCTTCACTGAAAGCAAATGAGTAATAATGACATCAACAAGAAAACAGTACTTGTTAAAAAGTACAGAATAACGTGTCGCTCTTTGTTAAAATCTAAGAAAAACAAACATGCAGAGAATCACCCCCAAACCTTCTACTTAGAGAAAAACGCATGGTTATCACCTTAGCATACATCCTTCTAGAACACTTTTCTATGCATATAAACGATTTTGGTTTGTTTGTTTGCTAAAGTGGGCTTATACTGCAGATTTTGTTTGGGACTCTGTCTAACTTATTATGTCATGAGTTTATGTCCATAAATATTTTTCCTGCAAAAGACTCCATTATGTGAACCTCTTTGTAGCTAATCTCAGCACATGCCTATTTAAGATAAATTCTCAGAAGTGGAATTATTAGCTCAAAAGGTATGGTTATTTAAAAATGTTTTGTTAGTTTTTAATTCATGTTGATAAACTGACTTCCAGGAAGGCTAGGTCACTCCCAATGTATCAACATAAGGGAGTCCTTCCCTAAATGCCTCCCCAAAGTCTTGGATGGGTTTTATTTGTATGGCTCTACTTCCACCCAAGTGTTTCAACAACTCTGACAGAGTTGTGTCGTCACCACCACGATCAGTCCTGCACTGTGTTCTCCACAGAAGCAATGGGGGGGGGGGGGGGGGGGGGGGGGGGGGGGGGGGGGGGGCGGCTGGGTGATAGACATTGGGGGGGGGAGGTGTTTTAATGTTCTACTCGCTCATGTAGAACAGCTAATCTGGCTTGTCTAGGAAAGTTGTAAATAGAATTCTGTTAGGGCTGGATTCAGCTGTCAGAGTTATGCCCTGAATTTCAAAAGTGGGTGGTAATTTCCATAAATATGTCACTTCAAATACATGTCCTAAAGGGATCCAGCATTTCACCCTCCCAAAGAGAGGAAACAGAACTTGGGCGGTTTAATACCCAAGAAACTCGGGGCAAAGTATAGGTGTGAAAAGGCGGGAGACCTCACAAACCCCAAAACATTTTACAAAGTTTGGTAAAAGCCTTTTTCTATGGATAAGAGTCACTTATAACAAATGGATGAACCCAGAACACTTTTCCTGAACAGTTGTCGTGAATGGAAATGTTCTGTTGTAAACAATCAATAGTGATGGCTCTAGACTTTTATTGAAGCTGTCATGATTTCACCAGTAATGCTATGAACCTTCCCATATTTGTGCAGTGGATGTTCGCGTGTTCAATCATGCATTTTGCTGAGTGACTAGGCTACACCAGCCAGGCATTGTGTTATCTGCTATGGATGGTGCATTGTATAATGCCTTAGCCTTGATGGTTTTGCCTGATGGAAAGTAAATCAACAATGAGAATGTAATACAATGGTTCTCTAACCTGGTTGTACATTAGACCTACGTAGGGAGATTTTAAACATTCTAATGCCCAGGTTGTATCCCAAAGTTATTACGCCAGACTGTCTGGGAGTGGGAGCCATGGGTGTTTAAAAAAAAAAAAAAAAGTCCCAGGTGAGTCCAAATTGTAGCAGTTTGGGGACCACTGATATAACACAATGACAGAGCTAAAAGCCTTTTTGAGCCCAGAGAAATCAAAGGAGACTTCCCAGAGGAGGTGACCAGGCTGTGTTCTGAAGGATGAATGAATGCTTTCTATTGAGGTTTGTAATTTGAATCCTACAAACGCCATAAATGAATCCCATACAAACATAAATAGAAAAAGACTTATATATGACAAGAAATAATCATCCTCAGAAAAACTGTCCCACTGGGGGTAAAGAATTCAATATTAGTGTTAATATATACTCAAATATCCCCCTCCAAACTGATAACCTAGTTCCTTTGTGTGGTCTATACCACAGAGAACAATACGAAGCCAAACAGAAAAGCAAATCTCCGTGGTATGGTTGAATGCCAAAACTAGCCTTAAGCAAACACATCCAGGCAAGTTCTAGAATTACAACCAGGATATGGCATCAATATAAAAGCAGATCTGTACTTTAACGAAACCTCTGGACTTTTCAGTAAAAATATACTTTGGCAAAGTTTATTAGTGCTCCTCTTCTCCTTCTGTCCTCCCCCTACCAACACCACCAATAAAGACAGTGGGCAACAAGGGAGGGGGGCAGCCTCTGGCTCCCCTCCCACTAGCCATTGTTGGTATTTAAGAGAGCTACACAGTGCTTGGCCATTGATCTGTTCACTGTCATCCTGCTTAAATCAATAATCTATTAGTCCCTTTAAATTAGAGTTAGATTCATCAAATGCCCTTGAGAGGTCTCAAACATTTTGTTCCTTATTCCAGGCAAGCACAATCAGTCTATGGAATGATAAAATTTTTGCTCGAAAACTCTGCAGGCTCAGCAGACAATGTGTCCTGTATTAGCTCATTCAGCGATCTCAGGCAGGCCAAAAAAGCAGTTCTTAGACTTCCCAGGGGGAAAAGAGGCTTGTGTCATTCAATAAAACAACTGCACTCCAGCCATCCTGATGTGATTTCAGTTTGGGGAAGCAGTCTTTGAGGAATAATTTGGATCTGCTTTCGGCCTCCTGCTTTTATTTATTTCCTTGCTTACTTATTGACTTATTCAGTTCTGTCTGGTGACTGCATCCCCAGTAAGCAGCCTCCAATGTGACATCCAAACTGCTAACCAGATGGGCTGCCTTGCTTTGTCAGGGAATGGCCAAGATAGAGGAACTTCTGCTACTCAGGGC